CATCAAAAATCAAATGTTTTGGTTATCTGGTAAGAATGGAACCAAATCAGCCAGCACTTAAAGCGCACTAACGAGAACAGCATGCAACTGGTCAAGAGGCCCACCAAGATATGGATGGAGCGGGTAAACGCCGCTCAACATTTGGCGTAACAGAGGACAGGTAGCCCCGGCTACTGTTATACAGTAGCTCAGTCATAGTTAAGCAAAACTTGATCATCATCATCATCATCATCATCATAAACCACTTTTGCCGTTAAGCGACGTGGGGAGGAATAATTTGCGATCCAGTGCACATTGGCTGCCACTGGCTATTGTCATGCCGTGAAGGCGAAGAGTGTCTTTTATGTTGTCGATCCATTTTTCCTTGGCCGTCCTCTTGCTCTTGTAGTTGATCTTCTGAGATGTAGTGCTTGTGATGGTATTTGATCTTGCGGCATTCTAACAAGATGGCCAAACCACTTAATCTGCTGTTTCTCGATGAATCTAGTACACGATGTCGTTCCCACAATATACCTGATAGTTTCATTATTCACTCGATCTCGGATGGTTAGGTTGGCTGTTTTTCTCAGGCACCTCATCTCGCAGGTGGTGATTTTGGGTATATGGGCTTTAGATAGTGTCCATGTTTGGCAAACTTTATCAGCTGCTAAAAATGCCGAAAACATCTATCATAAACCCACTACGATTTATCCATCAACATAGTGCGAGCAGTGTCGGCTATAATTGTGGTTTGGTGTTCGTGACCCTGTACCTTTTTTGTGTTGTTGGAGACAGCTCATCACTTGCAGTTTATGATCTTGTTCGCCGTTCATTGTCTATGTTATCCTAAAGCCCGTTCATTGTCTATGTTATCCTAAAGCCCGTTCATTGTCTATGTTATCCTAAAGCCCGTTCATTGTCTATGTTATCCTAAAGCCCGTTCATTGTCCATGTTATCTTAAAGTGGGAATAACATTATTTTCTGTCGATCATTTGTCGTTAAAAAAAAAAAAAAAAAATAGTTTTTCCAACTCCAAGATTGCAATCTCTAGGATTTACATGGCAAGAATGAGAATCACACACATACAAATCCCAGAAACCCTGTTTGACCTGAAAGAAATATAGTCCAGTTATTTTGGGCCATCACATCCTCCCGAAGTTTTTTTTATATTTTTAGGCTCGCTGGCGGTGGCTGTCGTTGGTGGCGGATGTGCTTAAAACGAGGAACACATGAAACCCCTACACTAAAGGAGTGTCCCGGAAATACATTACAAAATCTTGCCACCGACGATAAAGGGCGAATTTCGTGAGCTGTACCTGTTTTTTCTTCTTATCTTTTGCCGGCTGTAAAGTCTAGCGTCCAAAAAGCAATGGTAAACTACTGGACGTAAATTTGCCAAGAAAAACCACAAAAGCCGGAAAGTGCTGGGGTTGGTTCTGCAACGTCCTGTAATATAAACTCTGGCGGTCAGTCCTGGCTGCTCTTTCACTTTTGGTCTTGTTCTAGATGTTGAATTTTGCGTGGACATCCTTTTTAAGTATTTAGTTTATCTGTATGCAAATTAATGGTTCCTCGCTTGTCAGGGAGGGAGATGTACTCCGATTTTGTAGAAAACATTAAGTCAAACTCTTTTTACAACAAGTATATCACGTTGTAGGAGCAGTGATTCTACACCCCCCCCCTCTCCCTCCCATTTTCCATGTCCTAGTGAGGTCCGAAACCCACACTGGAAGTGGATGCGTAGGGATTTACTTTGAATCATTTTTAAAAAAAATGCAAGAACTGTCAGACTGAAATGGATACCAGAAATTAGCATCGGAGTCATTCCTGCGCCCCTCCACCAACTTGGGGTCATAATTGGATTCAGCATATATATGTCGGCTCTGTGGCTAAGTCGATGCGAACGCTTCGTAATGCCAGGATGCCGGGTTCGATCCCAGCCGCGGGCCATGCGACTTGCGTTGGTTTCAACAGTGGTATCAGCGGCCGACCGTCCAGGAAGCAATGGCAAACTACTGGACGTCAATTTGCCTAGAGACCACACAAAAGCCTGGGCTGCTGGGGTTGGTTCTGCAACGTCCCGTAAAGGATACGCAACTAACTAACCTAAATTGGGTATCAACTCATTATAGGGAAAATAAACACAACACGTGTGCTATAGACCTCATCACTTATCAAGTACCTTTTGATTTTAAAATATGGGATTCAAACACGATTCAAAGCGTGAACATTATTTTTTTCTGTAACATATACTGACTTTTTTACACTTTACCAATGGGATAACAGGTTGAAACCCAAAGGGAGGATAACTCCGGACATCCGTGTTCATTCAGTGATGAATGCGGACTATAGCTCAATTTACAAGGAGAATGTCATCCTGGAGGAGAATCTGGAAGATCGTTTGTCCTACATCAAAAAGGTTGGTTGTAATCTAGCACCTGTTTTTTGTGATTGTGTGAAACACAGCGATTTCTTCATTGTGTCTGCTGTAATTTAATCCTTCTAGTTACCTATTGCTCTTTTCATTCAGCAATTTATTTTAGTTTGTGTTGTTGTTCTTCCTTTCGTTCAATAGTTCATCTTGTTCTTTTGTCTGTCTGTGTGTCTGCCTGTCTGTCTGTATGTATGTATGTCTGTATGTATGTGTGTATGTGAGTATGTGTGTATGTGTGTATGTATGTGTGTGTCTTCTTCTTCTTTTTTTTCTTCAATTTTTCTTCTTTTTCTTCTTCTTCTTCTTCTTCTTCTTCTTCTTCTTCTTCTTCTTCTTCTTCTTCTTCTTCTTCTTCTTCTTCTTCTTCTTCTTCTTCTTCTTCTTCTTCTTCTTCTTCTTCTTCTTCTTCTCCTTCTTCTCATTCTGTTCATCATCATCATCTTCTTCTTCTTCTTCTTCTTCTTCTTCTTCTTCTTCTTCTTCTTCTTCTTCTTCTTCTTCTTCTTCTTCTTCTTCTTCTTCTTCTTCTTCTTCTTCTTCTTTTTCTCCTCCTCCTCGCCTTTCTCCACCCTTTCCCTTCCTTACCTTCCCGTTCTCCTTGTATTTACCTGTTGAAGCTACCCCTTAACCAACTCACGCTAGGTTTCCTATCATTTGTCAACTCCTGCAGTTCTGACCTTGACCTCCCTATAATGTCCGTCTCTAGCCTCAGTTTCTATCACAGTATTTCTCCAAACACTTTTTCTTGTGTGGACGTTTCACTGAAAGAAAATGTGGTGTCAACATCATTTGGTAGTTGTCAATACGACGTTTATCACCATCCTGCTCATCGTCATCATCATCATCACCTTCGTCGTCGTCCATATCATCTTAGTTATCGAAGGCAAAGTGGTACCAGTGTTTGGACTAAAGTGTCTACTGATAAAATATGTATGATGGTGTCGTTTTTGCTAACGAATAGAGCGACATTTCATAGTGTTAAAAAAAACAACATAAAAATGTTACATGGAGTAAATGTGTGAACTTAATTATTTACTGCCATTTTATGAAAAAAGACACGTTTCGATATGTAAAAAATTACATTATTTCCACATCACTGAATAAACTACCTGGCATAAAAAATTATCTCTTACCGACTTCAGTTGCTTTGTAATGCGGTGATGCCGGATTCGATCCCAGCTGGAGGCGATTTGGCAGCTGAAAGCCTTGCGTTGGCTTCGGACAGTGGAATTGAGAACCGACAGTTTAGTGGCAATGGCAAACTACTGAATGTAAAATACGTCTAGAAAAACCACAACTGGTGATTGGTTCTGCAACGTCCTGTAAAGGATACGGTGAGTTGCGTATCCTTTACAGGACGTTGCAGAGCCGACCCCAGCAGCCCCTGGCTGTTGTGAGGTTTCTCTAGGCAAATTGACGTCCAGTAGTTTGCCATTGCTCTGGACGGTCGACCCTCCTGATACCACTGTCGAAAACAACGCAAGGCGCATGGCTGGAATCGAACCCAGCACGCCAGCATTACGAAGGGTTGGCATCGACTTAGCCACAGAGCCGACGCTGTAAAGGATACGCAACTATTTAACTGACTTCAGTTAAACAATTTGATCACTGTAATTTGTAATACACATCATTTCTGTTGAAACGAGAAATACTTTTTCGTATTCATACTGTTACTGTATATTTGTAACCCCATTCTTGTTTTTCTGCTCGCCTACCATCATTGTAACAAAATAAAAGGATATTTCATATTTCAGAATGAACGCAGAGCTTTGGAAGAAAAGGGGGAAGAACTGGATGAAATGCGCAGACAAATGGACGTAATTTCTAAACTGCAGGAAGCGGTCAACTCCCGTAACCCAGCAGACTCGCTGGATGTGCTTTCCGCCAATAAAGCGGTTCGGTGGTTAAATGACAACAAAAAGAGCAGAGCTCAGCTAAAAATTGAGGCAGAGAGGGAGAAATTCAGCTCCAGAAATCTGTTCAATGTTCGTAGATTTCACACGGGATTTGATTTTCTTCACAGAAGAAAACTTGTTCCGCCGTCAGCAATGCAGGTAGCTTCAGACAACAAAGATGAAGGCAATGTTGATGATCTCTTAAAAACCGAATCTCCTAAACCAGAACGACCTCCACAGACTAAAGGATATCTGAAACAGACTTTTTCCTCCACGTCAGGATTACGACCTATGACAGCAACTATTACATATCAGCGGGAGCAGAAAGAAGACGATATCCTTCCCCTTCGTTCCAAAAGCGCCGTGCTGAGATCACGATCAAGGCGTCAGTTAGAACTTCTTGTGTCGAGTGACTCCCAAAGAGGATGAGCTGGAAATCACCGCGGATTTTCAGATCGACTGGAAAGTTGTTAATGAAAGACGAAGGCGTCAGAAACTTCGGCAACTCCAAGTTGAAAACGAGGAGTTAAATAGCAAGGTTAACCATTTTCTCACGAGAGTCGACGAGTTTAACAAACGGCCCATATCGGGGAAGTCAAACAAAGTGAAAGTTAGTAAAGGAGATGCAATTTTAGCCAAGTTGTTAAAAATGCAAGAAATTCTTGAACTGTCTAAATCTGTTGGTTGCTGAGCCCGAGTCTGAGCTTGGACAGAGAGAAAATAAGGACACTGTAACAGAGACATCGGGGTTCGATAACAGACCTGATTCCAAGGAAGTGTCTTTTGAAAACATAAGTTTCTCTAAAAATGGAAATTTTTAAAAAGTTACAGGAATGGCATAAATAATTTTAAATTTTAGTCTCGTCATCTCGTTTTGAATTTCCTTTAATATTTTACTCTCGGTTTACCTTCCCTCTCTTCTGGTATTCCCAATGTTACCACAAACACCGTCACCACCATTTCTGTTGTTGCTGCTGTTGCAGCCACTACTACTATTATAATTACTATTACTTTTTTCTCCTCCTCTTCTTTCTGCTGCTCTTCATCCTCCTGCGCCTTGTCGACTGATTAGTGATTAGTGATTAGAAAGGATTATCATCACAGCACTCCTAACAGATCTAAAGGTGCTCTGCTCAAAAGTCCCACAAGTCTAAAACGACTGATGACGCCTGTTCTGTGTTGGTTAATGAAACGTCTTGTCCTCTTAGTGAAATGTTCATTTTTTTGAAGCTCCAGGCTGCACCCCCATGTCCATCATTCTAGACAGGGATATGGAGTTATATTCTTAGGCGTTTTCCTCGATACGGTAAGTGCAGAGCATAGCACTGATAACATCACCTCTGTCCAGTACTGGGCCAGCCATAGCAACTGTAGTGTCAGCAAGATATTCTGCACGCTCGTTCCCTTAAACACCCGACATGACCTGACACAAAGATGAAGGTTATGGCAAATATTCGTGAAGTGCTTAGTGTTTCAATCCATTCTTGCCTGATAAATCAGACTTGGATTTTTTTAAGCATATTCATCGAGTCACTAAGAAAGCATACGTGTGTGAACTTTTGAGTACCAAGCCATGCTAAAGCCCTTGTTACAGCCATAGTTTTCATTGGGACTTCTAGTTGTAACAGCAAAGGCGCCATTTATCTCCTTGATGGTTTTCTCGCTTGAGCTTACTGTGAAGGCCCATGCACTTCGCTTGCCCCTAATTACTGACCCATCTGTGTAAACTACAGCATCACCTGTCGACTGATGTCGGCTATCATAGCTCTCAACAACCACCGATCTAAACTGCACCAGCTGAAGTCATTCACACGTTTAATGTTCCAAGGTATCATCTCAGTTGTAAATTAAGCTTGCTACTTATTGCAACAATTCAACCTTATTTATTATTCCGGTGACTTGATTACGCTATCTGTTTATATTTTACTGTCTTGTGATATATCTTTTCTCTTGTTTTGAAGGCACATGCTATTGTCTTGTGTAAATATGCAGTTAATGAAGTTAGGTTTGTATGGAAGTTCGCTGCGATGGATACATCAGCTCTGGTCTTTGGAGACATTACGTGATGAGTGCAGGCAGTGCCTAAGCATGTTTGGCATTCTTCTGGATGAATATATTACAGTAGTATGTTCACTTTACTTCGTGTGTTAGTTGTCCAAAACTGAGTACTCTTTAGACACAGACATACTACATGTTCTGAACTCCATGATCAATCACCCAAACTAGCCGATAAGCGCAAGACAAATACAGGAAACCTCGACATTGGGCTACAACCTGGTATCAGTGAGGTTGCAAAAGAAGAGGGAACTTGATCTGATGATCTGAGAAGAACTGGCTAATAAACAGCACCCTCCTGACCCAAAAGGTCAGGTATTTGTTTTACGTTAAACGTTGGCCTGAAAAGAACGGTGATTATAAGGTACAGTCTTCAGAAAACGAGAAACGCAAAGGTCAAAAATGGAAGATTTATCTGCGATGAAAGCACAAAAGACTGGAGAATTAACTAGAGAAAGAGCAGGTTGCATGCGTGTCGCAACGAGAGAACGCTCCGAAAGGCCCTGCTTACTGATGATGATGTAATTATTGTCCACAACTAACTGCTAGTTAATTTAATAAAATGCTGTCATCAGACGCGCTAAAAACCCATTTTTATTAGCTTGCTTCTGTATGCGAATAAGGGGGGCGGGGGGGGGGGCGGAGGGTGTTAATCTCCTATTATGATCGACAGTTACCAGGATGGGCTGTCCTGGGAAAGTAAAGACAGCCGGCGTAATGCTGACCACATTACCCACCGAGTGCTGATGGTCTGTAAAAATATGGGCGCTCTTCCCATATGCCCGATACGCCTAAAGGAGTGGAAAGGGATCTTTACTTAACAATTTTTTTTATTTTTATGATCGACAGTTAGGGGCACCGAAACCTGAAGTCTTAGACCTTTCCCTCCCTTGGACAATTTGTAAGGCGGTTTGCTTTTACTTCCCGTTACATTTATGGCACGCATTGTATTCTGGACCACCCAGAAGCCAAGGCCAGTTTAAAAAGAATACTCCTTAGTGTAGATTCAAGCCTAGTTCCTTCGGTCTGGCAGCAGGCGTTTCGAAAAGTCAACTAGTAAAACATTCAAATTGATGACCGGAACGAAGACCGTTACCAAGTGTATACCTATAGAGACGACGTGGGCTAGTCAGTCTAGTTTGGCAAAACCTAGAGGATTTTGAGCAATATCTAGGGACCTGCGAAATGATGAGAGGTGAAAATATTCCTATAAGGATCAGATGCCTAGATTTCTCTATCAAGTACGATAATATTGACAGTTCCTTGACTTGTTTACCGGTTTAAACATTAGCCTTATATTCACGCAGGAGAATTAGGATGGTCAACTCACCTGCTGGGGTAAATATAAGAAGGAGTAAATGGATCATCGCAGTCTGATGAGAGTGATGCAGCAAGAAGTAACCAGAGGGTCTGGCGGATACACTACGCTCATGGGAAAAGCTAGACAAAAGTATAATCAGACTGCTATAGGCACCACTGGTATTGAAGCTCTGTGCTGACTGCTGAAGATATGGATAGAGAACTAAGGGAATGGACCAGGTGCTGTGATATCGGTTCTTGAATTAACTCAACTTAACTCGTATAAGATACGACTATTTTTTTTCCCAGCGGACAGTCTGTGTGCAGGTTTTCTCTGGCAGCGAGAAAGTATCAAGACCTGACTGATTGACTTTCTACCCCACCAGGACATCACACAAGCGATAAACACCCGATGACACAATGTTCCACCATGTGGGTGAGGATCCCCGTGGAGAGGTCCCAGAAACCGCATCCGGGCCTTTAGGACATATTTATGGCCAGGCTATATTGCGGCCCCTGGCAAAGCCAGAGTAGGGCCTCAAATAACGAAAAATTTCATCCTTAAAAAGATGGGAAGAATATTTGATGAGTATCAAGAACGGACCGAATATAGCTAAGTATAGGACTATTTTTCCACGCCTTTTGTTTATTGGGCATATAGTACAAGACCAATATTTTATAGACCAATGGGCACTAAGTGAGATGTGGTCAACGTCACGTCGGTGATCTTTATTGCCCAGGATTTCACCTAGTGCCCATTTAAGGCTGGGTCAGCCTGCGAATTAAGGTCATCAAAATAAAAAGTTCGGCCTTGTTCGTTTTTGAACTCGCGACCCTCGGATCCACAAGCTAACGTTTAGTCGCTAAATCATGACCTAAGTGATTAATGCCAGAATAAATTTAAAATTTAACTGACTGGTTGACTGACCGACCGACTTTTGTACTGATTAAGTGACCGACCGACCGACTGGCTGATCGATCAACCATCTGACCGACTTATCCACCGAGTTGCAGACTGACATAACAACCAGGTGAGTGGCTGACCCCTAGAGGGAATAACAAAAAGCAACCAACTAGAATTTATGCTGAGTAGCAAATGCCTTCTGACATACTCTAGCAGGATACATCCTCTTGCCACCATGTAGCGGTTAGCTAGAGTAATTCCCATGTTTTGACAGAAGCAGAGGACCAAAGATAAAATATATGAAACAACAGCAGAACACAGTCCTCGTTTTCTGGCTGTGTTATGAGAAGAAGTAAACTGAAACGTGTGACCAGTGAAAATATTTGTTAAAAAAAAAGAGATAGAGGAAGACAACATGAAAAGATTTTTGAGTTTTGTCGGGACATGAAGGGGTATCAGCAAGAGCTGACGAATGCTGTTGAATATTGCAGGTTGTGGAGAGGCATGATGACCAACACGAGATGGCAAAGTACTTGACACACGTCTATAAGAAGAATCAGGTATTCTCTACTTCTGTGATGAGAAATAGTGTTAAACTGGTGGTACCTGAGTCAATGAAGGGTGAAGAAATGCGGAAAGGTAGAAGTATATAATATTATTATAATATCAACATAGCTGATCGAAAACACCCTGGGTCGACGGCTCTAGAGAGACTAAAACAACTGCAGCTAAAAGCAAAGCATATGGTGATTCTACTTTCCAGTAAAGAATTATAGTCAAATGCATGGCACTGTAATGAAATGAAAGTCACCGGGTTTACTCATCACTCCAGGAAAGGATACAGAGATTTTAGAAACACCCTATAAACAGTTGACACTGAACAAGGGTGTATCTGTGCCTTGTGTTTGTATATTTTTCCTTTTACAAAACACAACAATCGGTGGCATTTTTGTACAGCTAAGTTTGTACTGAGATGTCGTTCCTCGTCCACACTTGACGAGGATAACGTTTTCTTTCATCAATCGTTCGCTCGTATGTACCGAGAAATTACCTGTAGTTGAACAGAAAAGAAATATTGTTGGACAAACTGACAAGTGGCGGCACATGGGAGAGATGTACACATAGGCGTTCACCACCACCACCACTACCACCAACAACAACAACAACAGCAAAAGCAAAATCACAATGAGTCATCCCCCCCCCCCCCCCCCCAAAAAAAAAAAGACTAAAAACAGGACTGCTCCACTTGAACATATCACAACACATTTGTCCATGCATTAATGAAGATTTTATTGATTTGCAATTGATCACTTTTTTTTACGCTGGAATGCGTTTCGCCCACAGATAATTTGCGAACGTGAGCTTTCTACCGGTCCCCTCGATATAGACTATTTAACCTGGTGTTAAGTTTTATGTTGTAACAGATTTTGAGG